TGTGTGTTTTGTGGTAGCACAGTGGATACATTTGGTGCATTTACATGTATTGATTTTTTAATTTTTCCTTAAATTTTATTATTTTATTAAATTCAAGAACTTTATTATAAATACTTAATAAAACTCAAGTTATAATAAATAGTTTGTTGTTGTTCCTAATGACTTGAATTTTTATATTATAAATATTAAATTTGAATCCTAAATAAGTGGGAGGGGTTGTATAACTCATTCTCTGAGTATGAAAAAAAAATTTCCTTTTAGATAGAAATTCAATTTAAATAATGATTAAAAAAGGGTTTAATTTAATAAGAAATTCAATTTTAGATACACAACACTTTAATATATTCAAACAATATATTTAAAAATACATGTATTTAAAATTTATTTTTTAATTTAATCTAAATATTATATTTTGAAATATATGTATTTAAAATTCATATAATTTAAATATATGTATTTAAAATTCATATATTTTAAATATATGTATTTTAAATACAGACCTTAAATATAAATATGCATTTTTAAACACAACCTAAAAGTATTTATATAATTTTTCAAGTATTCTTACATTTTTTTATTTTTCTTGGTTGACTCTATTTAATTAAGTTGTCTTATGGTAGGTAAGTAGGTTGGTTTGATTAATTTAAAAATAAAAACACAAATCAATTAATTATATTCGTTTTAAATTTTTATAATTCAAATTAATATAATTTTACATGGTTTTAACTAATTTGGTTTCAACTAAGTTAAGTGTTGTCCTCTACAATAATCTCTGGATGGTAAGGGCAACTTTGTTGTTCAAGAAGAAATCTTATACCTGCAACGGTGTTACATGTTTTTTAACTGCAATAAGGGCATGGTTATATGGCATGAAAAATATTATAATTGTGTTTGATTTAACTGTAAACAATAGTTAATAATTAACAAAATTAAATAATTCATATTTTATTATTACTTAATAATTTAAAGCCTATCAGACACATAAAACAAGTTTGTCTTTGGGATGATGTAGCAAAAAGTGGAGTGCATGTGAGTGAAGCCAATCAATAGAAAAGGGAAAAGAAAACAGGGGAAATTTTTATAGTTTTGGTATTGTGCACAACTTTGCCATTTTGTTCAATCTGCAAAGTTCACTGTTAGATTGAGCTAAAATTTTGTCTGTGTATTCATGAGACATCAATCCACATTTTGAACAGTTAGTTTTCATTTGGAGCTTTATAGGTTCTGCTTTAGTGCCCAAAACAATAGGTCGTTTTTATTGATATGTTTTTCTTGTGATCCCATTTTCTTTGTCTGTTTGTGGCCTGTTATTCCTCTTGTTTGGTGTTGGTTTTGTGCCTTTTTATGAGAGGATGTTATGTGCTTTCTTTTATTATAGTGGAGCTATTTTCATTTTTTAGGTTTTTACGTAAAAATATTGTGTCTCTTATGGTGGTTAGTTTGCCTTAACCATTTCTATTATTTTGCATATTTTAGCTACTGCCATAATTTTATTTGGATTCAATTTAGTTTGTTCTTAACAGTTTCAAATAGATTAGGGAAGATTTTGGTGTTGTTTTTGTTTCCACTATACTCAGATGACACTCGGTTCTTCCTAACATATATATATATATATATATATATATATAATACCCCATGCTTGAAAGAACACATCTACAGCTTGTAAAAAGGTACTGCCATACTGGTGATAGAATATGACGTGGTTAATTTCTCTAATCAAATTAAATCAATGTATGCAAACTAATTAAACAAGATCAGTCCTCCTAGCTATGAAATTAACTATCCAAAATTTTACGTTAATTTTTACCTTAATGTTCTTGTATCATTCTTTGAATTCAATATTCATGGTAATATCCAAAAAAATGGAAATTGCACTGAAGGAATTAATAATTGAATTAACAAAGAGAACTGCAGCAAATGATATTGATACCTGAAGTTGATTTGTGGCATTTGCAATCTCAAAGACTGTTTTACCTTTATTATCTTTTGCATTTACTCGCCCCTTATGATCCTTTAGCTTTTCTGATGCTTCAAACAGGACTTTGAACGCTTTAAATTGACTGTTCTTCACTGCCAAGTGTAGAACAGTTTCCCCGTTAGGGGTCACTTGCTCCATGGCTTTTTGATGAGGACACCTTGATAACAGCTCATGCATGATATGGATCCTCCCTTTGATGGCTGCATGGTGGAGTGACGTTCTCCCTGCTTTGTCTTTCAACAAACATAGATCGGAATCCCCCTTGTTCCAAAGCTCCCTTACTACTTCTAAGTGCCCTGCAGCCGTTGCCAGGTGAATTGGGGCAAAACCATCTTTGTTAAGCTCTTGCGCAAATGAAGGCAACTGCTTCATGATCTCTCTCACAAAATCAACATGTCTGGCAAGTGAAGCAACATGAGGTGGTGTTTCTGTTGTAGACGATAAAGACACCCTCCTGAGAATAAGTTTATCCTCATTTTGTAAAGCCTTTAATTCTGCAACATCTCCCAGTGTTGCAGCCTCGAACAATCTGAACAATCTTTGATCCATGATTTTTAAAGAAAAACCCTATAATTTGGCTTAGGCTCTTGGCAAAATATGATCAAAAGGAGTGCTTGTGAAGAATGTATGCCTTTTGTTTTCACAGCAGCTGGTCTTTATATAACATTAGCCCAACTTTTTTTAATCTATCTCTCCTTGTAAAGTCTTTGTCTTCTCTTCTTTTATTTCTTTTTCTTGTTAAATCCTTCAAAGCTTGATCCTTCAT